TCATACTCATCACTGACAACTAAAATATTGGCAGAGTGTTCTATATAGTATATAATAAGACCAAAGGAAGTAGGCGCTTCCTGTAACGTCAAATAGATATGACGTTACCAAAACTTCAGTTATACATTTAATAAGACTAAAGGAAGTACACGCCAAAAACCCAACAACGGTTCAAACTCATCACTGACAACTTAAATTCTCGCAGAGTGTTCTGTATTATTTTCCGGATCTACACGCATGAGAATAACACAACCAACCTATTTTTATACGTATTCATGGGAAAATGTGCCAAAAATCATCAAAATACCGAATATCGGGAAATACGGCTATATGGGGCTGTACAAAAACGTGGACCTATACATACTTCGCCAAAAGAGCTAGAACCCATTAAGACCAATAAATACAAATTAACCGGACATCATTAATTCGACTTAGAATTTTATGCTGATTATGAATATATATACTTTGTGGGGTCTACGACGAATATTTAAGGATGTTACAAACGGAATGACAATGTTAATATACCCTCCTTTCCAAGGTGGAGGGTATAAAAACGTCTAAATAAAATATAAACTATATTAAGGAATTGAACAATGTATTTTGAATGCAAAGCAAGCCAGTTTAAAAAAGTTTGTAATTATCAGAGCATACTTCGAATAGTTATTATAAAATGATGCATGTTATCAAATACTGCAGAGAAATAGATTGATTCTCAAACACTCTTCCTTAATCGACTTAAAGGCCCTTCTAAAGTTTGACGTGATAATGGTTTTGTCATCATGGCTGCAATCATTTTTTCAAAAAGATTATTCTCAACATAATCCTTGACAAAATAACGTTTTGTGGCAATATGTTTTGTTCGATTGCTCAGTTTCTCGTCCTTTATTAAGCTTACAATGATTATAGTTATCTACAATGATTATATTTATCTCTATGATTATAGTTATCTCTATTTGTTCGGTTTGTATGTCTGCCAGTAATTTGCGCTACCGTATAGCTTCCTTAGAAGCTTCCAAAAGCGATTTAAATTCGACTCCGAGACAGTTTTTATACCCTCCACCATAGTATGGAAGGTATATTAAGTTTGTCATTCCGTTTGTAACACCTTTAGACACATTTTAGACCCCACGAAGTACATATATTCTTGATCAGCATAAAATTCATTGTCGAAATATCAATGTCCGTCCGTCTGTCCGTCTATCCGTCTGTGGAAATCACTCTAGCTTCCGACCGAAATGAAATAGGTTGATAAAATTTTACTCAAATGTGTACTATGTCTGCAGTACTTTTGGTTTTGAAAATGGGCCATATAGGTCCATGTCTTCGTATAGGCCCCATATAACGGTACCTCCCGATATGCGGTATTTTGATGATTCTAGCGACATTTTTTATCGGAATAGTTTCAAAATTAATATTTAAAGTTCGTAATAGATGCTACGGCTTAAAACAGAAAATGGGCCATGTAGGTCCACGTCTTCGGTAACTCCCGATATTCGGTATCTTGATAATTTTAGCAACATTATTTACCGGAATTGTTTCAAATTTGGTATTTGAAGTTTGTAATAGATAGTACAGCATAAAACAGAAAATGGGCCATGTAGGTCCATGTCTGCGTATAGGCCCTATGTAACGGTACCCCCCGATATTCGGTTTTTTGATGATTTTAGCGATATTATTTACGGGAATTCTTTCAATTTTGGCATTTGAAGTTCGTATTGGATAATACAACCTATGACAGAAAATTGACCGTGCAGGTCCACGTTTTGGTATAGCCCCCATATAATAGTACCTCCCGGTATTAAGTATTTTGATGATTTTAGCGACATTATTCACCGGAACTATTTCAAATTTGGTATTTGAAGTTCGTAATGAATACTATAGCCAATAACATAATGTTTGGTATTTGAAGTTCGTAATGAATACTATAGCCTATAACATAAAATTGTTAGTGCAAGTCTTCGTAAAGCCCCCATATAACGGTACCTCCCGATATTCGGTATTTTGATGATTTTAGAGGCATTATTTCAAATTCAAATTTTGTATTAGGAGTTCGTAACGTATGCTACAGCCTATGACAGAAAATTGTCTGTGCAGGTCCAATCCTTCGTATAGCCCCCATATAACGGTACCCCCCGATATTCGGTATTTTCACGATTTTAGCGACATTAATTACCGGATTTTAGCGACATTAATTACCGGATTTCAAATTTCGCATTTGAAGTTCGTAATGAATACTACAGCCTATGGCAGAAAATTGTCTGTGCAGGTCCACTTCTTCGTATATCCCTCATATAACGTTACCCCCCCCCCCCATATTCGGTATTTTGATAATTTTAGCGACATTATTTACCGCAATTGTTTCAAATTTAGCATTTGAAGTTCGTAATGGATATTACAGCCTATGACAGAAAATTGTCTGTGCATATCCACGTTTTATAAACACCATTGTACCTCCCTATATTCCGTATTTTCATGATTTTAGCTACATTATAAACAGATAGATAGACCCTAATATAATAGCTACATTTGGTATTTTTAAGATTTTAACAGAAGTTTTAACGTATTTTATTATTTTTGAGAATTGCCAAATTCCTTCCAAGTGGTGGAGGGTATTCAAAGTTCGGCCCGGCCGAACTTACAGCTTATTTACTTGTTTCGAAATTAAGTTTTAGTAACTCCTCTGTCGATGGTCACGATTACGCTAGTTTTATTTTTAACTTGATAGCCCTGTTATGATTGGTGTCAAAAATTGTTGTGCTCTGTGCTTCTGAAAAAAATATTAATTATCTATTTTATTAAATTAATTAATCTGATAAAAAAAAGTGTCTAAAAGTGTTTAATATTGATTTCGCAATTCGTAGTGATAATTGGTGAAGTGTTATAAAAATGTTTAGTTTAACATTCTTCTCTTTATCCTCTTTCTTTTGTTACAAGGGTTAATTAGTTGTTGAAACATATGTTCTTGTTTAGTTATCATCTCAAAAAGTTACCAAATTTTTAAAAAGAAAATAAAATAAATAAATAAAAAAATCTTGTTACAGATTTGATATTAAAATTAACAAAAAATAATTATAATTATTAAAAAGAATAGTGTTGGCTTGTTTGTTCGGGATACCATAGTATTTTGTTGTTGCAAAATGGTCAGGCTTAATCCCATTATTGTTGTTTTTATAAAAACACCGTCTGTTTACTAGTGGAAAACGATGGTAATGTTTACCATGGGGTAAGGCAGGGAAAGCCTAGTTTTCGGAAAAAGCCAAAAATCCTCATATGTTCCCTTGTTTTTTGTCTGAGAAATTCTCCCCAGAAGTTATTTTAAAGATAACTTCAATGACAAAAAAATTTTTTACCCAAGTGACGAGATCGTAAGCTCAATAGAAGAGGAAGCAAAGAATTACATAAAAATAAATTTTTTGGAAAAACTTTTAAATCTTACAACCGCACCTATAAACATTTTCATCTTTCTTCACTTGTTAAGCTTTATGTTGCAATGTATTAGTTATCTCCGAAATTTGATTAAAAACATCTACATTAAATAGTGAAATTGTATGTTCAAAATATCAAATAGTTAGAAAAAATCGTGCTTGTAAAAAAGGTGGTGGCTTACTTATTGCAGTTGATACCAAATATACCACCAATTTAATTGATCTAAATGATTCTCTTGATATAGAATTGATTGGTGTTTCCTTTGAATAGGGCAAATCTAAGCTGTTTATAAATTATTCTTATATTCCACCTTTATCTTCACTTGACATTGGTAAACATTTGTAATCAGCAATAAATTTAATCACTGAAAAAATTAAATATTCTGATCGCATCCTGATTCTTGGTGATTTAAATATGCCTTCCGTTAGGTGGCTTCCAATGCCAGTTCCTGAAGCTTTGATTCCTTTGCTATCCGAAATGAACAGTTCCCAGTATACATTTGAAGTTATAAATCGTTTTTAGACTTAAATCTTCATCAAATAAACAGTGAACAAAATTCCCACGACAAAATTATTGAATTGGCGTTTGTAAATATAACTGTAATGTCTTTCAAATAGACAAAAATAATAACACAACCGTTGCGATCAAAGTCCAAAATGTAATATGTTTATTTTCTGTTTACAAAAGAGAATAGGGTTCAACAATCACTACTGTTACACTCATTAGTAGTGATTGAGTGATATTTAATAAACAACGAATGAGAGGGAATGGAAGAATGTAAGAGTACTAAACAGTAATATTACAGTAGGCTCTGCATACAAGTACTATATAGTGATATTACAGTAGGCTCTGCATACAATACAAAATACAGTATATACTTGATATATGCAATACTCTATATGCTCCTCCTAAAGCTGTTTCATACATATTAAAATTCAAATATTTAATTCAAAATAATTTTACAATATGGATATTTACATAAATTTTTTTAGTTTTTTTTTAACGACTTTTCCTCCTGCTCGAGGTCTGAGATTTCTTGTGGTTTGTGAAGTATCTTCAGTTATTGATGGAGGTGTGACTATAGCATTGTTGTCGTCGTTGTTGGATGGAATCGTGATGTCGTTGGACAGCTGTTGTACAGAACTGCCTCGGATTTGGTCTAAATGACGTTTGATGTTGTTATTATTGTGACTTAATGTACACGAGTAAGATTGAGGTCCGAGTTGTTGTGTGATTGTAGCTTGTGTCCAACTGGGTTTATTGGGATTTCGGTAATCTCGAACCATAACCTTTTGACCTTCATGGAAAGTTGCATTGCGTTTTCCTTTATGATGTATTATGTTTTTCTCTTGCGAAAGCTTTAATTTTTCTTTTATGGTAGGAGGTTTAAGATTGCTGAATCGGGTCTTGAGCTCTCTCCCGAAAAATATTTTTGCCGGTGACTCACCAGTACTGCAGTGGATCATATTTCGATAGTCCATTAAGAATCGGCATAAAATCTGATCAATATTGGCGTCTCTATTACCATCCAAATTTGCATAGATAGATTTTTTAAGCGTTTTGACAAAATTTTCGGCTTGCCCATTTGTGGATGGATGTCCGGGTGCAGTTAAACTGTGCTTAATTCCATTTAAGGATAAAAATGTCTGAAATTCAGATGATGTGAACTGTGACCCATTGTCACTAACTAGGGTATCCACTAATCCATACCTGCAAAATAGTTCTCTTAGTTTTCTTATTGTAAAAGAAGATGTTATGTCCTTTGTCTTAAAAACTTCGACAAATTTAGAATAAGAATCGATAACAACCAAAAAATGAAAGTTTTTAATTGGACCAGCAAAATCAACGTGAATACGTTTCCATACTGAACCACAGGGCTCCCATGGTATCAAAATTCCTTTCTCAGGACTAGGCTGTAATTTTTGACACGGTACACAGTTTTTTATGAGACTTTCTATATCTTTATCAATACCAGGCCACCATACATACGACCTAGCCAATGCTTTTGTTTTGACTATTCCTAAATGTGAGGAATGCAAAGCTTCCAAAATTTTGGATTTTAATTTTTGAGGAATAACTGTTCTGTATCCCCATAGAACGCAACCATATTCTACAGTTAATTCAATGTATTTTTCTCGAAATGTGGAAAAAATAGGATCTTTTAAATTTTCAAGTGTACCATCCAAAATACTTGCTGCTACTTTCGATAAAATCGGGTCTCTTCGGGTTTCTCTGCAGATATCTTTGAAGTCCACTGGAAAATCTCTTTGTGATTCAATAAAATTTATATATGAACTTTCACTATGATTACTTTCAAAGTTTATATGAGGTAATCTGGAAATAGAATCAGCTTCATTTTTACATCCTTTTACATACTCAATGGTATAATTAAAACCAGAAAGGATCAAGGCCCAACGTTGCATCCTCGCTGACGCCATTATTGGCAAGCCTTTGTTACTTCCAAAAATTGTTAACAGTGGACGATGATCAGTCTTCAAAATAAATCTATTTCCAATCAAATATTGTTTAAGCTTTGTAACACAAAACACGATAGCAAGAGCTTCTTTTTCCAAAGTGCTATAATTTTTCTCACTCTTGGTTAAAGCTCGTGAAACAAATGAAATGGGTTTAGAAACATCAGAAAATTTATGTGATAGAACACCAGCAACAGCATTGTTCGACGCATCCGTTGTCAAAATCAAAGGCAATTTAGGGTTAAAATGCACCAGGACCTGATCGGACGTAACTTCACGTTTAATTCTGTCATAAGCCTTTTGACATTTATCAGACCAAACGAACGAAACATCCTTACTCAACAAATTATATAGCGGAGACATAATATCAGCAAAATCGTTGATGAATTTTGAATAATAATTCGCCATACCAACAAAAGCTCGTACTTCGGATATATTTCTTGGAATAGGCGCAGACATAATGCTTGAAATTCTTTCATCATTCTTAGTCAATCCATTTCTGTTAATATTAAATCCTAAGTAGGAAATCTCGTTTTGAAAAAATTTTGACTTCTTCACGTTAAGTTTTAATCCCGAAGACTGTAGCTTCTCTAATACACGCCTTAACGTCAAAATATGTTCACTCAAATTCTTTCCAGTAACGGTTATGTCGTCCTGATAAACCACAACACACGGAATATCTCTTAACAAATTCTCAATAGTCTTTTGAAAAATTGCTGCCGCTGTTTTCACACCAAAGGGTAAACGTTTAACTTTTAAGGTTCCAATATGAGTAGTCCACGCACACAAAAGTTGAGAATCGTCATCTAGAACAAGCTGATTATAAGCATTTGAAAGATCTAGTTTGGTGAAAACTTCACCACCTTCCAACGAAGCAAAAATTTCATCAATCCTAGGTAGAGGATACTTGAAATCAACCAAAAACTTGTTCAATGTGACCTTATAATCACCACAAATCCTCAAATCACCATTGGGTTTTAAAATAGGAACAAGGGGAGTACCCCAATCCGAATTATCTATGGGTTCCAAGACGTCAGAGGCAATTAATTGACGTAAATGTTTTTCAACTCGTTCTTTCCAAGCTAGTGGCAATGGCCTTGGTTTGCAAAATATTGGTACTGCGTCACTAACAACTTGTAGGGAAATTGTGCATCCACTAAACTTTCCCAATTTACCATCAAAAACTCCATTGAATTCATTTTTCAACTGATTAACAATTGTCATATCAGAGACTTGAATGTTGTTAACTTGTAATAATTCAAAATTAAAAGCTCGTAAAAACGATCGACCAAGCAACGGAGGATTCTTCGTAACAACAACAACTACCACTACTGATTTGGTATTACCTTTATACGTTACACTTGCATCATATTCACCAGCCAACTTCAGCCTAACACCATTGTAATCTACATATGGCACTTTACACGATCTCAATTTTCTCTTAATTCCGTTCTCTTCCAAAAATGAAATCGGCAACAACGTACATGGTGCACCTGTATCACACACTGCCTTCAGTTCCACACCATCAACAACAACATCCAGAGAATACACATCACCATTTTCTTTCTCAGCCACACTAAAAATAGAATAATCGAAAACATTGTTATATTCATGAACATCACTCTCAACGTCATTAATTTCATTCGATACATAATTTACACTCTTTTTCCTACTATAGCAGACCGATGCCAAATGACCAATTTTTCCACACGAATGACATCTGCTCTCTTTATATTTGCAAGACTGAGAACTATGATTTCTCCAACCACAATGAGAACATGCATATTTCTTGCCACCGCCGCTCTTGCTGTCTCTGCTATTGTTGTTACGTTTGCTGCTGCTGCTACCACCATCTCTATTACCACTGCCAGTGCTGCCTCTGCCACCACCACCATAGTGATTTTTTGCATATTTCTGACCGTTAACCAAATTTACAGTGCATTGACTTTTCTCCTCTGCCTTTGCCATATGCTTCGTTTCCAAAATCATAGCCTTTCTTAATGCACTTTGTACTGTTAGGGTTTCATCTTCTTCACACAATCGTTCAAAGATGAAATTTGGCAAACCCATAACAAATTGATTAAGTACAAATGCATCCAAGCTGACACCAAACTTGCAATTGAGTGCTAATGTTTTTACACGAGCATACCATTCAGCCACCGACTCATTTTCAGCTTTGCTACACAAATGAAACTTCTTCCGCTCACTAAATACAATAGTTGGTGGGGTATATTGTGTATCTAAAATCTCACACAGCTTTTTATACGACACGGACACTGGAGACTCCGGACTGCATAAACTATGCAAAACTCTGTACGGCACAACACCAATTGATTTCAACAAAATTGACTTTTTGGTGTTCTCGTCCGAACAGTTAATTTCAAAAAAATGAATGTCCAATCTCTCCTTCCAAACGTTCCACGACTCCACATTAGGGTTGAATTCCGGCACATTCGACGATTGAAGCACTGTTACTGGAGCAACATTAAAACTTTGATTTGCAGCTTCTTCCATCTTAGGAGGCATTTACTTGTTGTTTTTGTTGTGTTTTTTTTTTTTATTATTATTATTAATTTCCACAAAATGGATTTATATGTATTTACATATATTTTTTTATGTGTATATACACTAACTTTTATTTTTTTTTTTTTATTTTTCCTCGTCGCCAATGTAATGTCTTTCAAATAGACAAAAATAATAACACAACCGTTGCGATCAAAGTCCAAAATGTAATATGTTTATTTTCTGTTTACAAAAGAGAATAGGGTTCAACAATCACTACTGTTACACTCATTAGTAGTGATTGAGTGATATTTAATAAACAACGAATGAGAGGGAATGGAAGAATGTAAGAGTACTAAACAGTAATATTACAGTAGGCTCTGCATACAAGTACTATATAGTGATATTACAGTAGGCTCTGCATACAATACAAAATACAGTATATACTTGATATATGCAATACTCTATAATAACATAGCATTTTGATATACTCAGAATTCCTCCAATATGTACCCCTGAAGATATATACCATCAAACTTTATATATCTCATGACTCACAGTTATATAATCGGAGAAAGCCAGATTCATTTAAAATTGTCCTTTATTATAAACATGATAATTTTCGGAAGCTCAATACCCTCATAGGCCTCTGTGAGCCTGTGTAATAGCCAAAAAGATTTAGAATATGAAATGGATAGATTTTATTGTATTTACAATAAATTTAACGTGGAATGTATTCCAACTGCTAGAGTTGAAAAATCCAATGAATATGCACAAACAACACCTGAGTTATTTATTCTAAAAATAAGCTTTTTCGTAAATATAAAAAATCAGGCCTAACAATAGATTACACTAACTACTCTGTTGCTAGGTCTAAGTATACTTTAGAGTCCCATAGATTGTATATAATTGTGAAAATAATTTTAAATCCAACCCTAAATATTTTTTGTGATTTCGTTAACATAAAACGAAAGGTTTCCTCAATTCCCTCAGTATTGAAATGTAACAATAAAGAATTTTTCAAGAGGTATCCAATAGTTGATGGATATATTGATAGATAGATGGCATACCTAATATAATTCTTAATACTGTTTTAAGAAACATTAGCCCTCCCTTTAATTATATTATTTAATTATTCACATAAATTTGGTTACTTTCCTACTTTCTAGAAAAAAAAAACTTTTATTATACCTTCACATAAGTCTGCTAGTCTTACAAATGTGTCAAATTATGGTCTAAAATTTTACATATCTGTATATTTTGTTTATATGCAATTTGTAAATAAGCCCTGTTGATCCACACATATTACTTAGAACTTTTTCTATATAGGTTCACGTTTTTCTAAAGCCCTCATATCTGAGTACCTTTCGATATTTGGAATCGTTATAATTTTAATTAAACTTTTTATCGAAATCGCCTATGTATAGGATGTGTGTTTGATATTTTGGCGATTTTGGTCTCATTTTTAACAGAATTTTCTCAACTATAAATTCGCATTAAATAACAACAACTTTAGAAGGAAATCGGCGCCATCAATTGTGCGGGATTTTGATGCCCAGTGAAACGGCAAAAACGGAAGTGAACCCAATATTCAATCCCGATACTTTTATTTTAAAGTTGTCCTTACCTCAGGGTGGGTATTATAAAATGTTCGGCCCGACCGAAGTTAACTTGTTTTTATACCCCTAACAATAATATAGAGGGTATATTAAGTTTGTCATTCCGTTTGTTACTCATTTTAATAACTAATTTAAAACCAAAGAATTTATACTTTTTTATGCACATATTTCTTTGTAATGTCTTAATTTGTTTTTTAATAAAAAAAATATAACGTTTTATATTATTATTGTAGGAGGGTATAAAATACAAAACCACTCGTTTATTCATGCAAAATATTGAAAATAACTTAAAAGCTAAACTTTGACAGTGAATTTCTCAGCTACTACTGTACCGAACTTTTGATTCAGCAGAAAGCTGATTTGTTACCTGTCGACAAATAATATCTGCATTCGTTCGAAATATTATATTATTTACCCAAACTGTTGAATAGTCAACAGAAGTAATTGTACCTCATGCACGACTAGTTCATTTTTGTAGTGTAACACTGGCACAGATCCCTCCTTTAAAGAATTCGAACAAGTACCCAAACATTTTCCAATACCTTAAGATAAATCTGCATGAGTAGCAACGAATTGATCGGAAAACGATTTGTTACCAAAACTTCATCTATACATTTAATATTAAGGAATTTAAGGAAGTACACGACTAAAACCCAGCAGCAGTTCATACTCATCACTGACAACTAAAATATTGGCAGAGTGTTCTATATAGTATATAATAAGACCAAAGGAAGTAGGCGCTTCCTATAACGTCAAATAGATATGTATAAGCAGCAATAAACTCAAATGAACTGGTCGCTAATCGATTTGTTACCAAAACTTCAGTTATACATTTAATGAGACTAAAGGAAGTACACGACTAAAACTCAACAACGGTTCAAACTCATTACTGACAACTTAAATTCTCGCAGAGTGTTCTGTATTATTTTCCGAATCTACACGTATGAGAATAACACAACCAACCTATTTTTAGACGTATTCATGGGAAAATGTGCCAAAAATCATCAAAATACCGAATATCGGTAAATACGGCTATATGGGGCTGTACAAAAACGTGGACCTATACATACTTCGCCAAAAGAGCTAGAACCCATTAAGACCAATAAATACAAATTAACCGGACATCATTAAATCGACTTAGAATTTTATGCTGATTATGAATATATATATATATACTTTATGGGGTCTACGACGAATATTTAAGGATGTTACAAACGGAATGACAAAGTTAATATACCCTCCTTTCCAAGGTGGAGGGTATAAAAACGTCTAAATGAAATATAAATTATATTAAGGAATTGAACAATGTATTTTGAATGCAAAGCAAGCCAGTTTAAAAAAGTTTGTAATTATCAGAGCATACTTCGAATAGTTATTATAAAATGATGCATGTGAACAAATACTGCAGAGAATTAGATTGATTCTCAAACACTCTTCCTCAATCGACTTAAAGGCCTACTGATGATCTAAAACCTTTTAAAATTTTGACGTGATAATGGTTATGGCATCATGGCTGCAATCATTTTTTCAAAAAGATTATTCTCAACATAATCCTTGACAAAATAACGTTTTGTGGCAATATGTTTTGTTTGATTGCTCAGTTTCTCGTCCTTTATTAAGCTTACAATGATTATAGTTATCTACAATGATTATATTCATCTCTATGATTATAGTTATCTCTATTTGTTCGGTTTGTATGTCTGCCAGTAATTTGCGCTACCGCATAGCTTCCTTAGAAGCTTCCAAAAGCGATTTAAATTCGACTCCGAGGCAGTACCCTCCACCATAGTATGTAACACCTTTAGACACATTTTAGACCCCACAAAGTACATATATTCTTGATCCGCATAAAATTCTATGTCGAAATATCAATGTCCGTCCGTCTGTCCGTCTATCTGGGTCATGTAGGTCCACGTCTTCGGTACCTCCCGATATTCGGTATCTTGATAATTTTAGCAACATTATTTACCGGAACTGCACTGTTATCAACACATAGGTTTATCGCTGATCCAGGCTAATCTTCCGACTTGTCACGCTCTACCAACAGCAGGCGAAAACTTGGTTGGACTTTATAAACCTATGATTTTCAAGAGGTCCATTGCAAAATCTGAAGAAAAGACACGCTTAGTTAATCAACACAACACTATTTTGATCAACATAAAACATTCCGGAATATTAGGACGCTTCCAACTGTTTAACGAAAAAAGGTTTTATCACCATTTATCGATACTTTGAAGACTGAAATAATCTACGTACCTAATATATATAATACTAAAAGACATCAATTTTATAAGTCAGCAACAGGAAATAGAAAACGTATTAAAGTATACCAACACCACTCCCTACCAGACCCATCTAAAAGTATTGTACAAGATTTTAAAAGAGTTAAATGACGTCCAGTTTAAACACTTGTCGCAATTAATCCATTCAATAACTGCACTTTGTCATGCAACAATTCGGATAAAAGGAGTAAAGATTGCAATGTAACGTTGTCGTTAAGAACCTCAAATAAATTGAAAATCAATTACTACAAGAAAAGAAGATATTCACAAGCAGACCTTTAGTAGAATCCCATTTAACAAAGTTGGCAATATAGCGCATGCACTTTTATGACTCTTAAATCAGACTATGGAGAAGAAGTTTCAAGAATTATCAACAAGGCAAATTGGGAACACGCTTATATAGCAAACTTGGTTCATTGATTCAACAATTAACGTCATAAAATAGGATGAAATTGACACTCAACATGGTTGAGAAAACCAAAAGTAATGTAGCTAAAGAATACCCCAAATAAGCAACACAGAACTTATTGCACTGTTATCAACACATAGGTTTATCGCTGATCCAGGCTTATCTTCCAACTTGTCACGCTCTACCAACAGCAGGCGAAAACTTGATTGGACTTTAAAAACTTATGATTTTCAAGAGGTCCATTGCAAAATCTGAAGAAAAGACACGCTTAGTTAATCAACAAAACACTATTTTGATCAACATAAAACATTCCGGAATATTAGAACGCTTCCAACTGTTTAACGAAAAAAGGTTTTATCGCCATTTATCGATACTTTGAAGACTGAAATAATCTACGTACCTCATATATACAAGACTAAAAGACATCAATTTTATAAGTCAGCAACAGGAAATAGTCCATTCAATAACTGCACTTGGTCATGCAATTAGTTTCACCGCTTATTTTTTTTTTTTTTTTTGCATTATTGCTTTTGAAACAATTCTACACAAAAATCCATATCAAAATAGAAGAGTCAATTTTTTCAGTTCCGCGATTTGTATAGAGGTTTTTATCAAAATTTTCTTTCATGAAAATGTTCCCAACTTAATTACGAATAAACAAAAATAATTCTCAACAACTACACTTTTTTAAAATATTTACATATTGATTTAAAGAAGTAGGTGTGTCCAGTTGCTCTGACCCCAAACAGATACCCAGGGTTGGAGGGCGAGTAAAGATTACGTTGTATACTAACTGTGGAACAAATATCTTCATGATTTTTGTAAATATTATGATTTTAGGTAAATCGATCAAATGGTCGTAAAATTGGGCGTGGTCACTTTTTCTTTGCATAAAAACCGTACGCGGGTTAGAACAAACATTTTTAAAAAAATATAAAAAGTAGGCGTGGTCAGTTCCTTAGCGCACAAATATATACTTAGGGCTGGATGGAAAGTCAACAGTATCTCCTGTAATAATTTTTTAATCCCATATATTCATTATTCATTATTATATATATTATATATATTAATTCATGCAAAATATTGAAAATAACTTAAAAGCTAAACTTTGACAGTGAATTAATCAACTACTAC